CCTCAAGCTCGAGGAGGGCGAGAGCGATCCGCCCTCCCCCCCGGGCGAAGCAGCAGCAGCAGCTGCAGCAGCAGCAGCAGAAGCCGCCGCCGCCGCCGCCGCCGCTGCCGAATCGGCCCTTCGAACCCCTGGCCGCAAGAGGAAGGCTTCCCCTGGGCGCCGTGGGCGCCGTAGGGGTTCGGCCGGCCTGCCCCGCTGAGCGCACGAGAGGGGTCGCTTGAGCTGGAGCAAGCGAGGGACGTGTCTGATTGGCGGGGGCGTGATGTCGTCAATGGGGGATCTATCTATCACAGGTGGTGCGTATGTGTGTTTTTTTTGTGTGTTCGGCGAAAGGTCATCATACGGCGGTGCAGAGTGTCACACTCTTGTTATGCTCCCCATCGCGACGCGAACTAATTTTTCCTTCCAAGGTTGGTGCACTGCGTGATTTGCGAGACGTTGTGTAAGTTGGCCGAAGAACGGACCCGCGCGAATGCCGGGAGTGTTTGTCCGCGGAGATGGGGGGGGTACGATTTACATTATAGAATGAAAATCTTTGCGTTTTTTTGCGTTATTCGCCCGGCCGTCGTTATCCAAGGCGTTCCGTGCTCTGTGGTTTGGTTCTAGGTGGTCTCTTTTGCTTGATGTCGTTGCTCTTGTTGTCGTTGACGTTGTCGTCGTTGCCGTTGGTGCTGTTCGGTGGTGTTTGTTTAGAGGGCGCGGTGGGGGGGAGAGGGACGTTTGTTGCGTCTGCTTCTTCTTGTACTCTTGCGTATCGTTGTTCCCGTGTTGGTGTGCCGGCCCGCCAGCAACAGCGACGACGCATCGCTTGGTGGAGATGGGCCTAGATAGACATGTAGATGTGCACATAAATTCACAACGTGCGTGCAACATTATTACTTCTGCTGCTGCTGCTGCTGCTGCTGCGGGTGGTAAGTAGACATTTTGTTCTAGCTCCTCACACCGCGGTGACGGTGGTGTGGGTGTGACGTGCGTTGTACTGTATGCATAGTCGTTCGTGTGCGGTTTTTTGTTGAGTTTGGTGCGTGCCTTTCGTTCGTCTCGTCGCTCTGACTGCGGCCAGCCCATCAGCACCACCCCCTGACTGCTTGCGTTTCAAGTGCTGCTACTGCTGTATACCACGCAGGAGCGTTCCTCCCATGATTCCTATCCTTCGTTGGCGGTTGCGTGTTTGTTTGATTATTGTTTCCATGTCTTACAAGTAACAAAGAAAGTGTGTGTGTCGGAGAGGGGGTCAGCTTTTCCCCCCGTTTTAGGTGGTTTCGAATATGATGATGGGACTCCATCACCGTGACCCTAGCAGCCGAGCTGATGTTGTGTGCCTCGTTTGCGAGTGATTGCTCAAGCTGGCACTCTGGGATTTAGCATCGTATGCGCCTTTTATTCCGCCCAACCCCGGCGGACTTCCTTTGTGCTCAGCACAAGAACAAATGTACTCGTTCGTGCCGCAACCCAAGACGAGAGGGCATTTGCGACCCCAGCTGAAAACAACACATTTACATGTGCATACAAGACTTCGGACGAACAGCGCGGACAAGAGATGAGACAACGTCTCGAAAATCTCCCGCTCGACGTCAACCTTCATTTCCTCAGCAACAGAAACACGGACGATCTCAAGAGGCACGTAACACACATCCATGCGGCTACGTCGGGTCCGAATCGCGCCACGAATCAGGGAAGTTTAGGGAGGGACCATTGCACCATTCATTGTGGTGTTCGTGCTTGTTTCCGAATCATGTCCCTTATATATATGCATATTTTCGAACAGAGTGGTGTGTCGCAGCGCGCTGCTACGAGCGCGCTCACATGTAATACATCCACCCGGCATGCGTGGTGCAATAATATTTCTGTTGGCTTTAACAAACATCACACGCCCGACCCCCTTGACGGGTGGTGTGCTGAAAGCAACAGCTGCTGTCTTGTAGCCCGATGATGCCCCCTCAAGCTGCGGCGAAGAGAAACACTATGATGACATAATGACCGTGTGCGACGACACCCGGCCCCCCACTGCTGCTGTACCTCGCAGGCACGCCGCTGACAGATAGCCGAGAATGAACACGTACGAGAGCATGGATGGATGGATCGAAACAGCAGTACCAACAGCATGGATACAACCATTACCATTCAATTTAGCCCCCCAACGCCATGTTGGTCGTCGTCGCAGGCGACCCTTGTTTTCGTCCATTCTTCTCAAAATAAACACTTGAGATGGATGTTCACATGTACACAACACCAAGCACGTGCTACACGCGACACCCATAAAAAACGAGTAACCCCCCCCCCCCCCCGAGAAAGTCTGTTACTTCTGGGGATAATGCCTTTTCCCCCAGGTCTTCTTGCGGAACGCACACACCGCCACCGATTAGCAGCATCACTTACAGCAAAGGCAGTGCTCCGGCACCATCACCTCCAACCGTCACCAAACATCCGCTTTGGTTGGACGATAGACAGACTCCCATATAAAAATATTAAAAACTGGCACAGCCTGTGGATACCTTCTAGACTAACTCTTTGTCGCGACCAGTCACCGCCACTTAGATTTTGCGCGTGCGCGCGTGTGCGTTTTGTACTTGTTTTGTTGGCTCTCAGACTCCCGGGGAACCAAAAAAAAATGCAAAAAGAAAAAAAGAGACAGATGGGGAACTGGGTCACAGGCCCCCCACCGCACAAGCGCTATCACATCTCTCCCCCACTACCCGAAGGAGTAAAAACGTACACGGCCGCTACATATCGGAACAAGGAGAGGAAGGGCTAAGCACGTGCGCATAATGTGCGTACGGCCTCTTGCTGGGAGACAAAGAAGGCGTATAGTAATAAAAAATAGGACAGAGGCAACCAACCAACCGGTCATCAGGTAGCCAATGGCGGTGAGGGTGGCGAGCCGGACACAAAAACACCATCATCAACAACGACAACAGGAGAAACAGAGGATGCCCAAATGAACACAAAAACGGACCCACCTGACTGACTGGAATTTTTATTTTTACTTGAAACTTGAAGGAAGGCAGAAGCGCTCGACAATACACGGTTCTCTTCGGCAACAAGAAGCTTCCTATATAACAGCCAGAAGCTTGCTCCATAGCAAAACCCATAACCCACGGGATGCATGCTTTCTTTCTTCCTGGCGCTCGAACGGCATGCGGCACAATGGAGTCGGCCAGGAAAAATCAACAAAGAAAGACGTCGGACGCTTAAACAGACAACGACAACAACCTACGACGACAGCAGCAGCAGCAGCAGCAGACACAAGACTTAGGCGGACGGTGTCTCCCCTAATAATCTACTTAACCCGCCCGTATGGATCGAATGAGTGCGTCGCTTGACTTGACACATGGACGCCAAAACATATTTACCGAGTGTGGTGAGAATAGTCACAAAACATGCCGACCCGGCTGCTCGAGTTCTTCGCAAAGGGTACACTAGCGCCCATAACGCGGCACAAGCATCAACAACAAGACTAAAGAGGGCCGCTTGAACTACGACCTGTGACCCCCATATACATACCGCGCCCACACACCGCAAAACCCATCGTACACGTCACAATGATCCCCAGCACGCCGGCGTTAGGACGTCCTTGCCTTCTACAGAACTCGACACACGGCAGTACAGCAGTAGCGCCGACTAGACTGATCGCGCTGTTCCTTTCACAAAGCTCCGTTTTGCTGCACACGAGTTACTACTGAGTTATACGGATGCGTTCGCAATACGTCAAGTCATCCACCATCATCATTTCCCACCTACCAGATGGTGGCGAAGCAATAACAAAAAAAAATAGGTGGAAAGAGAAAGGGAGAGGAGACCAATAAAAAATGCATCAAGGACAACACCACACGGGGGGGCAAATCTACAATAACGATGACCAGGCCAGCAGAGGGGGGGGGGTGTACTTTGCGCAAAAGCTCGAGACCCTGACAGCACAAGAAACAACAACGAGAAAAATGAAGGAGGTGGAAGGAAAACGAAAGTCCTCTTTGTTTGCTGAGAGATATCTCGCCTTGACGTTCTTTCGCGTCTACAGCAACCCAAAGACGCCTACCAGAAAACAACCAAAAACTTTTCGCACAGCAAACAAACGTGTCTACGACCGTCTAGTTAGTCTGGCCATCTGCGGAGTTCCATCGGGAGACGCCGCCAACCCCGCCACACCCTCCCGCCCGCCGCCACCGCCGCCGCCGCCGCCGCCGCCATTACTACCGGACGATGTCGCGCCGGCTTGCCTCCCCAGGTCTCGCAAGAATAGCCCTGCCTCGTCACGATCCGCGTTCTTGAGCCGGGCGCGCGTGGCCGCCGTGATGAGAAACGCGTGCGCCCGCGCCCTGCGGGTGCGGTGCCGGAAGTAGATCTCTTGCTGCATCCGCGAGCTCGCCGGCTCCACGCCGCCGCCCCTCCTTGCCCCCCCGCCGGACGACGACGACGCCGCGGCCGCCGCCTCGCCCTGCCCCCACCCGTGCGCCCCCTCCATCCGCCACCCGTGCTCTTGCCTCCCGCCGTTAAGCACCCTCCTGGGAAACGACAGGCTGCCGTACGCGCCCCCGCCCACGGGCCCCGCCCGCCTGTGCACCCCGAGAGCGCCGCTGTCGCCGCTGTCGCTGTCCTCACCGTCGTCGCCCTCGGTGCCGGAGGTCACCGAACCGCTGTTCGAGAAACCGCTGTTGCTTCGCCCGCGGCCGCGGCCGCCGGCGCCGGCGCCGCCGCCGCTTCCCTCGTGGCCGACTGATCGGGCGTCCCCCCGGCCGCTATTCGCGCCGTTGACCGACGACGAGTACCTGGCGTAAAACTCCTCGGGAAGGGGGGACGGCGGCAGCGACAGGTCTGACAGCGTCGTCGCCGCTAGCGAGGAAGACCCGGCCGTGCTCTGGGCGGCGCTGGCACCGGCGCTCGCGGCGGCGGCGGACGCGCCGCGCCCGCCGGAGCTCCTCGCCAGCAGGCGGCGCGACGTGGGGCTGGGGAGCGACGGGTGCCCGCCGCTGCTGCCGCTGCCGTGCACGTCCGCCTCCTTCAAGGACTGGTCCACGATGCCCTGCCCGACGAACGCGGCGAGCGCGGCCTTGGTGAAGGCGTGGTCGGCGCCCAGGATCTCCTTGAGAACCGGGTACACCTTCTCCGCGAGCTGGGCAGACTCGTCGACCTTCTCCTCCTGCCGCAGCACCCGCGTGCACGCCAGCACCAGCCAAAGGTCCCCCACGCACGTCCCAACAACGTCAAGCCTACCGAACGCCGGCAGGTTGCCGTTCCCTCCGCCGCCACCGCCGCCGTCCCCTCTACCCGCCGACGCCGCGCGCTCCCGTGTTCCCACGGGGAACTGCAGCCACAGCCGCGAACAGAGAGGCCGCGCATCGTCCACTACTGCCCGATACGTAACGTCTGCCCCCCTCCCTTGCACATCTGCAGCGGCCGCCGCCGCTGCCGCCACGGTGGCATCACCTCCGTCGGCCTGAAGCTTCGATCTGTGCTCGTTCCCCCCGGCGAAATGAGGCACGAGCACCCCGCTCGCCTCCAGCGCCGACAGGTGCATCTCCACGGCGCGCTGGAGCAGCCGTATCGCCGGCGCCTCCCTCTCGAACTGCGCGGCGAGCATGGCCAGCTCCTGCAGCATCGACGCCACCTTGTGGTGCGACTCCCTCGCCGCCCGCTCCTTCTGCGGGACCCCCACCGCCCCCGCCGCCCGCGCCGCCTCCTCCGCCAGCAGGCCGCAGGCTTCCTCGTACACGGCTATCGCTCTCGACCGCTGCCCCGCCAGCGCCAGCATGTCCGCGGCCGAGGCCAGCGCTCGCGCCGTGGCCCACCCCCCCGCCCCTCCGGCGGAGGCGGCTCCCTCCGCGCCACCCTCGCCCTCGTTCCCCCCCGACGATACCAACGCCGCTGCCGCCGCCGCCGCTGCCGCTTCCCGATAGGCCGCTCTCACCGACGAGACGTACCCAGCCACCGCGGACGTCAGCGAGTAAGGAGCGGGGAGGGCGTCCCACGAGGCCACGAGGTAGTCGTACCGGGAAAACCCGCCGTACCCGTGGTGCGGCGGGCCGGGACGGCCGCTGCCCAGGAGCCCGGACGGAATCGCGCCAGCAACGCCGCCGCCGCCGCTGCTGTCATCGCCGCCACTCGCGCCCCCTGCCCCAGCATCCGCGCACCGCAGCCCCCAGCAGGCATCGTGGAAGGTGCCCACGAGGGACGATATCCTGGACAGCGTCCGCGCTCTGCGGCGCGCCGCCTTCTGCATGGCCTCCGGGTGCCTGAGGGCCAGGCACGAGACCACCGCCCGCTGCAGCCCGTGCAGGACGAGCCCGTCCGCGCCCTCGCCCCCGCCCGCCCGGCACACCATCCGGAGCGCTTCGAAGACCTCCACCGGCGACGGGAGATTGTGCGCCGCCGCGAACGAAGAACCGCCCCGGCCGGCAGTGGCGGTGGCCCCTTCCTCAGCCCCCCACCCGCTCCGCCAAAACTCCTCCAGCGCGGGCGGGGGCAAGGGGTGCCCCTCCGGAAGAAGGGCGAACGAGAGGTAGCACTCCACCGCCCATCCCGAGCCGCCCAGAATTGTGTCCGCCTCCTGGAGCGCCAGCTGTGGGAAAGGCGCGCAAGAGCGAGCCCAGTCCAGGCGCGGCGACACATGGGGCACAAGAGCGGGATTAGGTATAAATCATGCTCAAAGGCAAGGTCAAGTTGACTTGGGGGGGAGGGGGGGGGGGGGGGGGGGGGGG